GCATACAAGTTAAATAGGCAGGGCGACAGTATGCAGCCTTGCTGTACTCCTTTCCCAATTTAGTGCCACCTCTTCTTAATCTCCTCTGCCTGTTAGGTCTCTGCCATTTTTGTCCTTTATCATGCCCATCTTTGCATGCACGTTGTACCTCCAATTTTCTTGAAGAGATCTCTAGTCTTTCCTATTCTATTGCTTTCTTCTATTTCTTCACACTGTTAATTTAAGAATGCCTTCTTATCTCTTCTAGCTATTCTCTGGAATTCTGCATTCAGTTGGGTGTATCTTTCCCTTTCTCCCTTGAATTTCACTTTATTTATAAAGCTTCCTCAGACAGCCATTTTGCTTTCTTGCATTTTTTTTTGTGGGGGGATGGTTTTAGATGCTACTTCTTGTACAATGTTCTGAACTTCTGTCCATAGTTCTTCAGGCACTCTGTCTCTCAGATCTAATTCCTTAAATCTATTTGCCACATCTACTGTATATTCATCAGGGATGTGATTTAGGTCATAACTGAGTGGCCTAGTGCTTTTCCCTACTTTCTTCAATTTAAGCCTAAATTTTGCAACGAGAAGCTCATGATCTGAGCCACAGTCAGCTCCTGATCTTGTTTTTACTGACTGTGTAGAGCTTCTCCATCTTTAGCTGCAGAGCACATACACAGTCAATCTGATTTCTGTGTTGACCGTCTGGTGATGTCCATGTGTAGAGTCATCTCTTGGGTTGTTGGAAAAGAGTGTTTGCAATGACCAGTGGGGTCTCTTGACAAAATTCTACCAGCCTGTGCCCTGCTTCATTTTGTACTCCAAGGCCAAACTTGCCTGTTATTCCGGTTATCTTTTGGCTTCCTACTTTAGATTTCCAATCCCCCATGATGATAAGGACATCATTTTTTGGTTTTAATTCTAGGTGTTGTAGGCCTTCACAGAACCAGTCAACTTCAGCTTCTTCAGCATCAGTGGTTGGGGCATAGACTTGGACTACTGTGATGTTGAATGGTCTGCCTTGGATTCGAACTGGGATCATTCTCTCATTCTGCAGATTGTATCCCAGTACTGCTTTTCCTACTCTTTTATTGACTATGAAGGCTACTCCATTTCTTCTGAGGGATTCTTGCCCGCAGTAGTATACCTGATGGTCATCTGAAAACACAAATGGAAATGCAAATATAAATGGAAATGCAAAATGAAAAGGCAAATGGGGCAGGTTCAAATAGAGGACAGTCCTCCATAAAGTAGGACACTTGGCCCCAGGCTCCCTTGGGTCATACATGAAAATGGCTTATTTCAGGACACCATTCTTACTACAAACAGAGCCCGTTTCTTGAAGCTCACATCCAATTAGTCACCACTGAAGGAAAGTGACCCTCAGATCAACACTGTAGTTGAAAGTCAATGTTCCTGCCTAAAGGATTTAGTCAAAAGGCTTCATTATGCAAATAGTGACCATCCCTTGAGTTAGGAGTTTATTGCAAGCAAAGGATAGCCAGACTTCAGGAAACACACTGAAAAGGAGCAGAAGAACTCTGCACAAATGCTCTTCTTGACTTTAGCAGGGTTATGTTACGGACCCCCACTATCTGCCCTCTGCTGAAGGTTGCAACCTTCTCTTTGTCAGGGCCTCTCGGGAGATCTGGCCAAGTCGTTCTTCCAGGCACCTTCTGCAAAGCTGCCCATTCTGACAACTGTAGAGAAATAGTTCCCTTCCTTGTTTCTGTATCATTTCCAATATAGTTCTTTTACCATTTCAGTTTGCTGTTTTTCTACTTTTCCACTAGAATGATCTCATTATTATTAGACTATAATATTAGGGTATTATATGCCACCCCATAGCTGAAGCTCCCTGGGCAGTTTACAACAATACATACATTAAATTAATGTATTTATATATTTAAAGTTTTTATATGCCGTCCCAATACTAAAAGTCTCTGGACAGCTTACAAGTATTGACTGAAACTACACTTGCACAAAACATGCACATCTACTCAGAAGTAAGATCCATTAACTTCAATGTGGCTTACTCCAAGTAAAAGGTATTGCATTGCAGCTTTAGTTTTATTTAAGATGTAATGCAAATCCTAACTAGACTCATGTGAAGACCACATCCCTGATCTACAGTCCTCAAGTCATTTACTGCAGGGAGTAGTTCTATCTAAGCTTTATTCTCTGTGATGTACTCATTCCTCTTGAGCTAATTCATTTGCTTAAAGTGCCAGAGTTTACACAGCAAAATACAAACTACATAGCTGGGAATGATGCATGATGCACAGATCCGTCTTTCCCCATTTTTGTGTTTATTGCGAGATAATCCAGTCCTTTAAAACCATTTAAAAATACTTACAGTAGACAGTTTGTCAGACACTTTTAGCTTGCCAAGTGTGTTGAGGAAGCTTAAAATGTGTTATAAAAGAGCATAGCAATTAAATAAGTGTAATGCATATAATTAAAAAATAAACAAACATGTCATGCTTGTTATTTAAAACTGGTATATACGTATTTAAATGTGGAGTTTCTGTGCATATATGTATGCCTGTGTGTGCAATGCACTTATTCCCATTTTACAGACAATGGGTAAAAGTCAGCGTATATCCTGCTTAGAGTAGATCCACTGAAATGAATGAGTCTTAAGTTAGGCATCTTTCCCATTCTTTCCCGTGGCCTAATCTAGGACTTCCAGTGGGTTGTAACCAGTGATCTGCTGAAGGCCACAGAATGCGTCCATGGCACAGATGGGATCTGAACTCACATTTAAAGTGGGTTTAATAAGCATGCTTGATTCTTATAGCATCTGCTGTTTGAGAAAGTTTGCATAATACTATTTCTACTCTATGTGGGATTGCTCCTTTTTATTATTCTGGCAAAGCTCTTCAAATTTAGTAATTGAATTGTAGAAAGAAGTTTAACAAGTTTTCCATAACAGACCGCAGAAGCTTCTTCTATGCCGAGAACTTATTCCATTTCAGCTTTTAATACAGCTTTAAAAAAGCAGAAGTCTGATATAAAAAAGACAAAGAACCCCTGGAATAGGCATGATACTCACCAAGTAGTAGGAAAATAGTGATGCATTTGTGACAAACTAGAAATGCCTTAAAAGCTGTGAATCAGGAATTCATCTATCTATGAAGTCCCTGAGCTCAGCCTCAGTTCTACCCTCCCACATCTGCAGTATGGGTGTAAGAGGTAGGAATGCGTGGTTATTAACGGCTATTGAATTGAGAACAGGGAAGTGTGGGTTCATATTCACTCAGATACAACCTCAGTGGAAGATAATGTCTTTGCCATTAGGCAAAGTGAAGTAATTGTCCCAAGCAGCCAAATTTGGGCAGCAAATTGATAGTTATGCAAGGCACAATCTTATGCGAGCCTAGGCGGATAAAAGACCTACAATTCCCAGTTTGCCCTTGGAGAGATGCTTGGGAATTACCTCTGCTCCCAGTGTAAAAGTTGCTGTATATCCATGTGCAGTAGAATTACACATCTTGGGTTGGGGAGTAGGATATTTGCTGCTCCCCACTGGCAGCAAAATACTTTGTGCAGCTCCTGTTGGATTGCTGTGATGTCCCTGTTGGATTGTTGCCCTGTTGGATTGTTGTGATGATAAAAACGGGGGTTCAGGAGAAAACCATGGATTCTTCCCTAACCTCAAAGAGGAAGGGCACAATACACATGGAGTAAAATGATTTATGTTGTGGGTGTGCTGTGAGAATTATGTATTTGAAAACACCTTGGACACCCAATGCTTTCTAATTCCTTCTCATGGGAATAAACAATTGCACTTGCTGCATTTTGGCTTCTATAAGGTAATGTGTTAACACTGAGATCTAGCAAGTGTATTGTAAAATCTAGCAAGAGCTTCACTGAGCATTTAAGGTTGCAATGCTATGTATGTTTGGACAGAATTAAGCCCTGTAACTACCTGTATCCGTCTCACCAGCCGTGCTGTGTGGGAGATGTTGGAATTATAAGGATTATTTATTTTTGTCTACACATCCATAGGATTGGATATGCATTCAAGCAGTTTCAGGTTAAAACATAACATTAAATTAAAATGCAAATACACTACAACCTCACACCATCTAACACCCACCTCCAACTCCAGGTAACCCAACGAGGCTAAAATCTTACACCCACTTCCCTGGAAGTAAGCCTTATTGAAATCAGCAGAACTTACTTCTGAGTAGTCATTGTACAGACGTGCACTTTGGCTCTCCAAGTCTATGGGCGCTTCCTGGAAAATAAAGCAGGGAGGTTTTATGGGGCACTTCCTTGGGAGAAAGGCCCATTGACCTCAGCGGACCTTAGTCCCGGGTCAACACCCAGAGAGGTCTTGTTTCGGAGGACCCATCCAAAGGATCGTTCTACAAAGATGCTACTTCATTTGAGGGGGCGGTGGGGTGGGAAGGGAAGGGGCGCTTCTGTGGGTGGGGGGCGGGCGGGCAGGCGGGGGACCTGATTAACTTTCTCCAGGGAAGTGATGTTTTCGGGACTCTCTACAGACGCCGCCACTCCAACCCACCACCCAATGCACAAACTCCTTCAAAGAGGAAGACTGTTCCGGGTAAGGGAGCGGCAGGATCGTCGTCCGCCGATTGCTCAGCTAAGCAGGCTGCCCGCCTGTTTGCGGACTTTCAAAGATGGATCCAGGGCATGCCCGGCTCTCTCCCGGCTCCCTTCCCTTCGGGGAAATATAATCCAATCAGGCGGTCGGCGGCGCGGCGCTCAGCTCCCTCCGGCGTGCGCGTCTCGGGCGCCGCGTCCACGCTTCAATCACATGCAGGAGGCCAGCGGGGGACAGCCGAGGAAACTACAATGCCCAGCGACCCCTTCTGCGCCCTGATCAATGGACCTTATTTGAATAATCTGTGAGCTCTTGGACTCAGGCCAATCAGCTGTCAGGGACCCATGATAAATCGCAATGCATTATTGATAATCATAATTACTCTGACATGCGCATTCCGGTCAATAGGAGTAATTTCCCAACTCTAGGAATTTGTTGTGAAGAAGAAGAAGAAAATAATTGCGACTATTTGGCTCTCGATGCGTGTGCACCATGTCGAGGCGCAAGCAGGCGAAGCCCCAGCATATCCATTCGGACGAGCAGCTACCCCGGGATACAGCGAATGGTAAGCTCGACCGGGGAAGCTCAGGTCAATTCCCAACTTTAATTGATGGGCAAAAGGAATCAGCCAGGGAAGCGAATTTGGCGGCGGGGGCGTAGTGCTTGCTTTTGTGTGCGAGCGAGGCTGCCCCCCCCCCCGCAGCGCACCGGGGCGCCCGTGCGGGATCCTGAGCCAAAGTGACCCTTTTGGTGTGCAGACCACCCTCTCGATTTCACCTATATTTCTCACGATTGCGGGAGCCTTTTGGATAATGTGTGGATTGATTGATTTTCAAGATGTAAAGGGGTTTTCCTTGCTTGCTTTGCCCCCCCCCCCCTTCTTTCCATCCTTCGTTAGTCTGGTTTCTGCTCACTTTTATTTGCGCAGGGAAAAAACAAATTCCCGATAGATGTTAATTACACATAAAGCTTCTCCTGGTGTGCGATTCCTAGTTCTCTTTCCTACCCTGTCCACTCCCCTAAATTTGGCAAAGTTCCTTATTTTCTTGTCCCAGGATCCCTTTAGCATCCTTTTAAAAATCTCTCGTGCGTGGGATACAATCGTATCCTTATATTCCGATGGACGTTACTAGAAGGTAACTCCCTAAACTTCTGCCCCCTCCCCCCACAAGGAAATATTTCTAGGTGGGAGGGGGCAGGCGAGAGGAATACTGCGAAACACCTTTTGTAATGCAAGGGTTGGGGGAAAATATTTTCCCCACCCTTCCATCGCTTGTCCTTATTTGGACGGGGGGGTGCCCCCTTACCCTCTCTTGTTAACCAAAAACTTGGAGCTATCTTTGTGGGGAGAGAAAGAGAGAGATCGCAATCACTTCGGACCTTTTGTAGCTGACCTCCAGCCATCTTTGATTTCCGACTTCCTAAAATAACTCCGGTGAGCTAATATGGTGTGCTGCGGGTGGGGGTGGGTGGGAGAGGCGATCTTAAAAAAAAAAAAAAATCTTCCCAAAGTTGTGATCGCTATCACTGCTTTTTGTTTTCCCTTCTCATCGCTGATGCGCTATGACTTTTTTTTTTAAAAAAAAAAATCTGTGCAGAAAGATATAAAGGAATGGCTTGTATTCTCTCCAGGTTTCATCGCTTTAGGTTGTGGTGCGGGGGTGGGGGTAGAGTTGTTCAAAGAAGAGCAATTGATGCGGCAGAATTCGCTAGAATGTAAGCTGGAGAGTTTTAAATTCCTGGTTGGGGCGATGGGGTCAGACCGCTCTTTGGTTTTGGAACCGCATCTGGGGCAACACGGACGTGGGTTGGGGTTGTTCAAAGTTGGATTTCAGGCTTCTTTTGCAAAACAAAACGGGCGGTGTGAAATTAATAAGATGCGCCAGGGAGGAGGGGTGGAGGTTGAGTCATGGATATTTATCAGTACTGTCCTGAACTCTGCAATTCTGGTACACGGGGGTGGGGGGGAGATATTTGTTCTTTTAAAAATAAACAGTAGATGTTAGCGTTTCCTAACTCAGTTATATCGAATGCCTTTCCCTAATCTAGATGCCTTTCGCATATATTTATTTTAAAAATGATACACCCACTGGTCCAAGGATAAATGAAAACTTTGGGATGAAATCTGGCACTCGATCTTCTATTTTTCTTCCTACCTCTTTTCTCCCTTTGCCCTTTAAATTTTTGTTTTGGTTTTGGGGGAAAAAAGGGCCGGACTCAAATCAAAGTTGTCCCACGATAAACTCTGCCCCGCACCACCACAATTGCTGGAAATGGTCGATAACAATATATATTTGGGAGGGGGCGATTCACTGGCGAGCCTCAGGAGGTCTGGCGCTTTTCTCTTGTCTCTTTCTTTTGAGCCCAAATGTGCAATTGTTGAGTCCGGTTAATGGTGATTTAAGAAAACGGCAAGCTGGCCAGAAGGCAATAAATCCCATGTTTAATGCATGACTGTTTTTCCTTTGTGCATATGGTTAGGATGGAGCGGGGCGGTGGAGGGGGTTGGAAGTGATGTTTCCACATGTAAATCTCTGCTCGCAGCTGGGTAACCACCTCCGGGGTCTGCCTTGAAACAAAAGGGTTAATAACTCCTTTGGAGCTGGGTGCTCCGCGGGGGGGGGGGCGAGGGAGAAGAGGGTAATCGAAAACTCCCTTGCTAGACCCACCGACCTGGTGTTCAGGTTTTACTCTTTGGTCCATTTCTCACGCTAATTTTTCCAAATTAGTGCATTTTTAAATTTCAAAACCCTTCAATCCCGTTGGATTTTGATGCAAGGCTGCGGAGCTCTTTGAGACGTAAAGAATAACGAGTGTGGGGAAAGAAACTAGTGTTTCAATAACTTTTGGAGTGCGTGTTATCAGTCTAGGAAAAACATCATGCTCTTTAAATCGCGCTGAATTGTTTGAAGGTAACTTCTCGAGTGTGCTATAGGACGGTTCGGTTGCTCTCCGGCGCCACCTGGAGGAAGCTGCCTGTGCAGATGGCAATATAGAAAATGCATTTTGTCCGTGGAAGCATGTCCGCGTGGGTCTTGACTCTTCCTGGTTTATGGAGTTAGGTTAGAGGGACGGGGGCTCAGAATGCCCGCCGATGACCTTCTGAAAATCTCTGAAACAGAGGATGAGCCTAGGATCGTATTGTGTTTTAAACTGAGACAGGTTTCTGTCTGCTTGGCGCCTGGAAGGAAATATCTCTTTGAACTGATAATGTGCTGACTAATGATGATGGTTCGTCTAGATGACCTCCAAGATAGTCTCTAACTCAGTGGGTTGCATTCAGCTTTAGTTATACCCACCGGAATCATGTCTAACTTGCCCTATTTGATTCCAATAGGCCTGCTTCTAAGCAAGCCCCTATGAATTTACTTTGCCTTTTCCAACTCCAGATGGGAAACACTCAAGGTGTGATGGCTTTGTGCACTTGTTTGTTATAGTTCAAAATATGCTACAGCCAAGCCCAGTCAATAGTCTGGTGGTATTTTAAGATTTGTATGCATCATTGCAAGTTTTGCTGCAGATAAAAAAGTATATTCTTCCATGCATCACTTGATGAAATAGCCTTTTGCCTTCAAGGTACCAGAAAAAATACTTTTTAAAAATTTTTTGTCACTCTACCTTTGTCACGCTTCTGTTTGCCTGAGAAGAACCCTGTGAGGTAGGACAGAATAGGCATAACTTGCCCAAAGATAACTTGTCCAGCAGGCTCTATAACCTAGTGGGGATTTGGATTTGTGTGTTCCACATCTAAATCCAAAAGACACCTTTAATTATTAATACCAGAGTATGTGGGAGCATGAAAGGTAGTTTAAAAATCTTGGTCCCCTTTTTCTTTTGTATCCTAAGGTAGAATGTTCTAGGTGTGGAAGTTCAATTTAAAAGAAAATAAAACATCGTGTGATGGTCGTACAAAATGTGTGGTTCCTCAACAGCTTGAGCAGCAAAATCCTGGGAGGAACCCCAAATATGCCCATAGGACACACTTTCAGATTGGCAAATTGTGAAATTTAATTAGATAACTCCCCAAGGATTTATTGAGGAGTAGCTGTGTTTGCATGGCAAGGAAGAATAATTAAACCAAGCACTTTATCTTTTAGCTTCAGGGAACAAAACCTCAGACAAAAATTTGCAAAGCAATACATTTCAGGGCTGGGAGGAAAGGTACTGCTAACTTGGTGATCAATTAACAGGTCAAAAATAGCAGGTGGGTTACTTGAGAACAACAATTACACACTGAAAATTAGCATTTCCCTCTACTCAAAGGATTTAAGTGTCCATTGTATTTGGTGACAGCCATTAGGCCAAAATCTTTTTCTCAAAATGCAGTTTAGAACTTAAATCATGTTTTCCTTCCCGATGATTTTTTTTAATGAACTACTGTGGTGAAAGTTTCAATGTTACATCAACACTGAAGGCTTACACTTAACGAGTATCGAGCAATTTTCCAACCCCACTCCTAAAAAATCCGCCAAGGTAGTCATTAAAGAAAGAATCCCCCTTGCAGAAATAGTGTAAGCAAAGTAAAAAACAGTCCTGTTCGAAGCTTACATTTGGTGACAGCTTTCCTGTTCAGATGAATAGCTTTGCTTGTTTCCAAGAATAGCATTTTCATGTAATCAGGTATTTTAACAGTCCAGGCATGATGCCCTACTGTTCTTGCGGGGCAGAGATTAAACATTGTCAACGAACCAATAAGAGGACAGCTGGCTGAGAGCGGTGCTGGGGAGGTAGTGAGGCTGGGGCGCAATGCGTGATGTCCCCCCTTTTTAAATGCCAAGTGAAACCCTATATTGGTTGTAGTGACTGGGCCTTTTCTGCGAAACCCGGCAGCTTGTGACATTTTTGACAGAGCTGCTGCTCTAACCTTTGCCTCCTCCTGCCTGCTGTGGGTGGTAAGTTGATGTCAAGCTTCCAATTAGGACTCTCATGCAATTGACCTTGGCAGCGGGGTTTTCTGCTGTTTAGTTTGGTCTTAAACACTGTACTAGTGTTAAGTGAGGTCTGGAGCTGCCTTGTTTATAGTCAAAGGGACTTGCTGGTGGTGCGAGCAATTGAGTGGAGAAGAAGAAATGGTCCTTGGAAAAGGTAGAAGCAAGCTGTCTTTTTCCCTTCCCTATTCGTTTAGGGTGTAAGCTGCTGCATGGGGCTTTACTCCTGATTGTTACTTGAGTGTGTGTTCTGGGGAGGTGGTGATTGGTAGTGTTCTGTTCAACATCTATTTCTTCCTAACTCTGCCTTCCATCCTTAAATTCCTGCTTGAGCTTGGTCCAGTTAAGAACTGCTTAATAGCTCTTGTGCTATTTTGCATGGGCAGATGTAATGCCATCGAATACAGCACTGGCCCACAATGCTGAGAGAAGTAATGCTGGCTTGTGCATAGATAATGCATCAGTTAGTTATTTTTGTGCATTGTAGTCCCTTTTGTTTTATTTTGCTTTCCCTTTTGTTTTTAAGGACAGTTCTCTGAGGATGGATTTGTTTTATTTAACTTGTTCTGCAGAAAGAGCAATCCTTATATATTTTTCTGTCATCCTACACTTAGGACATAAGCTTGGGTAAGTTTAA